TGTGGCCTCTCCCCGTTGGGTGAGGTGCGGACCCCGGGGGGAGGCTTCGCGCTCCGCGGCCTTGTGTGCCGCCGGCCCCGGAGTGAGGCGGTCCCTGTCGTCCCCCAGCTGCACGTTCCCTACGCGGAGTACTTCAGGCTGGAGCCGCTGCTGCGGTACCACCGCGTTATCAGCTTTGAGGACTTCATGGAGAAGCTGGGGCCCGTTCACTGGCCTCCTGGCCAGCGAGTGGCTCAGAGAAGTGCCGACAAAAACACTTGTCCCATGAAGGTGAGTTCTTGCTGCATCCCCGCGGGCGCGGCTTAATTCTGCTGCTGTTCCGACGGGAATGACTGACTCATTCAGATCGCCATTGACTTGCAAACTTAAGAGTTCTCCACCCTAGATCCGTCCCTGAGGCATTCCTTTCACCGCTTATCTGTGTGGCTTGCTGCGCCTTCATGCCTTTCTTTGTCAGCAGGTCCTTGGGGTTCAGGAGAATGGTTTGTGTAAGCAGTTTTTATCACTTCAGACTTGATCGTGACTGTAAGGAGAACAGATCCGTAACAACAAAGCTTACTGGGTTCTGCCTGTTTTGCATCTGTGATGTAGCTGTCCAGCTGGTTTTAAAGCAGCCTCTTTGAAATACAAGTTTGAGAGCTGTGGTGTTCTTACTCTTTTTAGACAGCCTTTGCATTAGTTGTCAGCTCATTTTTTTTTTAATGTGCTTCACTCTCTCCTTCCTGTGGAGCTGATATGTGACAAACAGCCTGTTGTATTCAGTCTGCTTTCCTCCTATAACAGAAAAACTCTTCAGGTCTCCACCCCAGGATCTTGCTAGGTCTGCCTTTCAGGCTCTGTGTATGCACTGAATGAACACTTGTTTTTCCTTTGCAGGATGGAAATCCATTTGGTCCCTTCTGGGATCAGTTCCAAGTTAACTTTGATAAGTCTGAGCTCTTCAAGGGAATTTCCTTCAGTTCTACTTACAAGGACCATTGGATCCAAAGGTAGTGACAAGATGGGAAAGTGCTGGCCGTGCTGCTAAAGAATAAGCCACGAAAACAGTTGTGTTAGTGACTGTGTAAAGCAGTGGGGGAGACGATTTTTAACTAACCACCGAAGTGGTTGGTTAGCAATAGAATTAAAAATCTTAATGCTTTTTCCATGAAATATTTGTTGAGCATGCTCTTCCTGTGGGCAGTATGAGCTGTGGACTCTGTTAGGCTGATTGATTTTTGAGGCACTAGTATTTAGTTACGGTATTTATTGACTACATATTTAATTATTCTTCAGAAAGAATTGCGTTCTCAGTGGCTGATCATGAACTGTATTTTGCTGGTTACCTCATGTTTTCAGAGCCACTTCAGTCCTATCAGTAAGTTTGGGTGACAGAATTGTTCTAGTCTGGGGTGAAAACATAAGCTGTCATTGCTTGGTAGCCCATTGCTATGCGTATGAGTTTCTTTTCTTTGTGTCTGTCAAATAATACTAATTCATTTGTTACCCGATCTGAGGTAAAATACAGTACCTGAATTTTGCTTTAATGTTCTGTTTGCATGGTAAAATGGTTAGCATTTGTCTTGGGTAAATTTGGGGCAATAGATGCTGCTTATTTCAGGGGGTTCATAGTTGAGATTCTAACCTTCCTGAAATTCATGTGCAGTAGTCTTTTTGCAAGATGATGCATGCAAGGTTATGTCATGTCTCAAGTCTGCTGGGTTTTTATCCTGTAGGTTTTCACCGTCGGAGCACCCTGTCCTTGCCTTACCTGGAGCTCCGGCCCAGTTTCCAGTCTTGGAGGAGCACCGGCCCCTCCATAAGTATATCGTGTGGTCTGATGAAATGGTGAAGAAAGGAGAAGCCTATATTCATTCTCTGCTGGTCAGGCCCTACGTTGGAATTCATCTGCGGATCGGCTCAGACTGGGTATGGTTCCCATGTGAGGCTGGTTGCCGGAGCCCGTGCAGTTGCTGTAGACTGGTAGCTAATGTTCGTGGAAGAAGCTGCCCGAAGAGGAGTTGTCCTTCTGGGGTGGCAGCCCGAATGCTGCTGGCATTCAGTAACTCACTGTGTGTTAGCAGTGCCGTTGGGATTCCTCTTCCAAACAGGCTGTAACGCTGCTCGCGGAGATGGGGGACGTGGTAATGTTTTCCCACACTATTGCCACTCAAACATTGTATTTTCTCTTTTCTTCTTCCAATAGAAAAATGCTTGCAATATGTTAAAGGATGGAACGGCCGGGCCGCATTTCATGGCTTCACCTCAGTGCGTGGGCTACGACCGAAGTGCTGCGGTCCCTCTTACCATGGACATGTGCCTACCAGACCTCAAAGAGATCAAGCGTGCTCTCAAGCTTTGGGTGGAAAAGACAGAAGCTAACTCTGTTTATGTTGCTACTGATTCTGAGCCTTACACGACAGAAATACAGCAGTTCTTTCAAGGAAAGGTAAGTCTTTCAGAAACCCGTTATGGCAGGAGTGCTTTAATAAAAACCTTCCTTGGATTCTGGCCTGTTGCTGCCACGGACAGCAGGCAGGCAGTTGTATAATCTGTTTTTCACAGACAAATGTTGGCATCTCGAAGTAACTTTTGCTCACAGCAATAAAAATTATATGGTAAAACTCTTAACTTTCCTAGAGGTTGAAGAGCATTATCCTGCATGGTAGTGGATTTCTCCTTGAAAAAGACTTCAATTACATAAACTTAAATGATTGTAAAATATGTTTTGACATTTATCTGTTCATAAATGAGTTGTAGGGCAGCTTAAGACACAATCCACTCTCTTTTTGTTGTATATTCACATTTCTAATATTATGCCAAGGCATTTAGACTGTAATAATAAATGACTGAATTCATTTGCTTTCCTTGTTTCTCTGCAGATCAAGGTTGTAAGCTTGCAGCCAGAAGTGCCACAGATTGATTTGTATGTTCTTGGCCAGTCCGATCATTTTATCGGGAACTGTGTCTCTTCGTTTACCGCCTTTGTGAAAAGAGAGCGTGACGTGCATGGAAAACCCTCTTCATTTTTTGGCATGGACCATCCACCAAGATTACGGGATGAATTCTGACCAAGAGAGTAACAGGCTCCGTAGTTCTCAGGGCTCTGAGCTTGGTACCTTGCCGAGGGACTGCTCGGTGCTAACAGCGCTCTCCTGCGTGCAGAGCACGCTGCCAGGCTGCCGCAGACCTGCTTCAGCCTCCTCACAGACTGTTCTGTCTGACTTCTCCTGTATTTCTAGCGTAAGGTCAGACAGAAAAGAAATTTTAAATCATGTAATTTGTAGGAAACTATAAACTATGGTTTTTAAGATGTAGTTTATATTGCTCTCCATTCTCACTATTTGGAGTTTGCCAGCAATCACGATGGAGCAGCTGCTCAGATTTCCTCTTCTCCATTCTTTTCTGTTAAGTCTTAATAATTTTACCCAGGGGTGTTGTGAAGCTTCATGTCCAAAACTGACTGTAAATTCTTTTTATGTGCAAAGTATTGTTAGGACTATCACAGTCCCTGGAAAGGAGCACAAGGTAAAGCTCAGGACTGGAAATTAGAAGATCTGGGCTTTATCAAGTACTACTGTTGCCTTACTAGACCCATGTCACCTTAGTGCCTGGGTTTCTGTTCCCCTGTCAAAAGAGCTTTCACACCTGTTTCGCAGTGGTGCTGTGGGGCACCTGGATCTCTTCAGCAGTGCTGGAGAAGCGCAGCTGGGGGCATGTTTGAATGTGGCAGTTGGCTCTTCAGCCCGTCGGGTAGAACTGGGGAGAAGGTGTTTGCAGGGCTGCAGATGGGAGATCTTTCGGAGCCAGTCAGGAGTTGGAGATTTAGGGTTTGTAGCTTTGTAGCTGTTGATGTCAGGTGGAGGTCTGTAGTAGAAATGAAACTGGTTTTGAGCAAAGACTTTTAAAGTAGCTGTAGTGGGGTTAGTGTATGTCTTACCTAGGTCTATGGTAACTGTTTCTGCTTTTTTGTCTATACATCCCTCTGACCACAGAACCCTTGTCTGTGGGGACAGTTCCTGGCAGAGATTAACTGTGGAAAGTATTTGCTGATGGTGAAAGAGCAGCCCAAAACCATTAGTTTGGCCCAGTACAGTTTAGTGCTGGGAACACTGATAATCCTGCTGTGGCAAGTCTCAACTTGACCGATGCCTTTTGGTACTCCTGTGGCTTTAATTTCATTTCTTTGTCCCAAGACTGAGTGGAGGACTTAAGTGGCATTTTTACAAAATTAAACATTAGGTGAAGCTGTGGTACCAGGGCTGGCTGCCTCTAGCACACTATTATGGTCTAAACGAGGCCGAGTGTTTACTGGGGTGTAACTCGAAATGTCTTTTTGGATTTTTGGTAGTGGGTTTTTTCCTCCTTGGAAACGTTCCTGATCTTTGAAGGAGTTTGAAAGCTCAAGGCAGTGACCAGAAGAGGGCTAAATGAGAAGGTACCCCAAGTAGCAAAGTCTCTTGTTTCCCCAGTGCTGGCTTCCAGAAATTCATGGGATTTGGTGGTTTCTGGGCCTCTGGCCACGTCCCGGCCTGGGCCCGGGGGAGCTGGGCGGCTGGATGCCTGCGCACTCCTCAGCATTTCTCTCCGCTCTCTGGGCCGGTGCAGTGCGTCAGGGCTGTCTTGCCTGGCTGCAGGGCCGGGGCCGCCTTTCCGGCTGTATTAGGAGAAAAGGCTGTTGGGTGTGTTTAATGTATTTTTTATAATAATAAAAACTAGGTTTTGTATTCACGTGTATTGTACCGTCACTCCCTCCTCTATCGCCGTCTTCCCGGCTCAGGTCTCGTGCAGCCCGGGCGTGGCCGAGCAGCAGCACAACCTTCCCCG